TCGAATTTCTGGAATTTTGGTTACTGTATGTCTTGATGTAGATTGAGTTTGGTTAGGACCATTTTGAGTTTTGTATGCTTCATTTATTTGTACGTCAAGTTCTTTATCTATGTTTGGGAAATTTTCTGCCATTTCTGTGAAGACATCTTCGATGGCTTTTGTGCTGTCTTCAGCTTTCTCACTGACTTCAGTCAATCTTGTTTTTTTTTTTTGTTTGTTTTTTTTTTTTTTTCCATCATGTAGCCGGTAAGTTGATTTTTCATGGTATCTTGGTATTTTTAAGATATCTTTCCTTTTGTGGTCATTAGTCACAATCCTGTCTCTAGATCTTATTTTCTACCTTCACCTTCATTCCGTCTTCTGCATATACTTTCAATGGAGTTTTAATCTCCATTCTGCTGGATCTGTTTCATGAATTCCTTTTTTTCCTATCTTGGGCATTCATGTTTTCCATCATCTCTAAGCTCCTTCATTTTTTAAAATTTTGGACTACTCTACTACTTTACTACTAGAATCTATTCTAGATTCAAATCCTGTATTATGATTCTCATCTCTGTTTTTAACTGAGAAATTATTTATGATCTTATTTTTTCTATAGCTTTGCTCATCAGTTTTGTTACTTCTGCTATTATCATTTCAGAAAAATGATGTGGAGGCTTCTGATTTCCTCCACCTCACTGTCCCCTGGACTTGTCCTTGGTGGGCTGGAGGTCTGGATTTGCATCTTGCTTTTGTGTCTTGTCATTTTCTTTTATATTTTAAATTTGTGTTTTGTGGGGATGCTTATAAATTGCTTATGGTAGATAGCTTTATCGCTAGTATTGAGATCTCACTAGGAAATGACTATTATTCAGAGATGTCTTCTAGGCGTAGCTGGCTCTTAGCCTTTGAGACTGGCCCAAATCCTACTTTCTCAATTTATTAGGAATGAGAAGTTACTTTCTATTTGTCCCAGCATCTACTCCTTTTATCCTGGACTATGATAATGGTTACTGCCCCAGAATCACACTGTTGTCACACAAGGAAGAACAAATGATCACATCAAGTATGACACCTTTGCTTATGTAGTACAGTCAACAGTAACCATAGCATCAAGCACAGCCCAAAAACTAACAAACTGTGGTGACTACTAATTGGTACCATTAACCACAGGAGCCAAATCTATAGTTATATAACAATATCCAATACAAACTGTGAACTTGTCTGCACTGAATTTCCCTGAGTAGAGTGATTTTACCTTGGGGGAGGCGTATAAGAGGGTTAAGGGGGAAATAGAGAAATAAATAAAGAGAATGGTCTTAGTAGCAAGGCTAAAGGGCATAGGAAGACTACCCAGTCTTTGGGAAACTGGATAAGAAGACAAGAGACAAAGAATGAGGGACAAAGTAAAAGAATATCAAAGTGGGGCAGAAAAACTAGAAACAGTGTTCACTCACAGGCAGAAAAAAAAAGTCAAGAAAAGAGTAAAACGTAACATACACAATAGTGGGATACAAAACTAACAATGAAAACGAAAACCCAAACATCTGCAAGAAATGAAAAGCAGAATTTCTCTTGTCACAAGTCTGTGGCTCTCCTCTCGTGTCCCCTGTTCTGTGTTTGAGTCAGAGCCAGAATCTGTGCTGCATCACCTTTATGGTTTCAGCTCCACAAAACTTACAGGCTGGTGTTGTCATCTGCTGTGGGTGCCGGGGCCCAAGTTTTCAGCCAACAACGCTCTGGGTTTCCCTCAGAGGCCATCCTAGCCTTCCTACCCGTGTGTCTCTGCCTCTATTGCCCAAGGCTGCTCCAACTCCCATGTGTAACTGGCCCCTCCTGGCTCTTGCACAGCTTCCTCTGTTCCGCTCCATTCTCGCAGGCTGTGCAAGAGGAGCTGCTACAGTCAGACTCACTACCTTTACCACCCCAGCCCCTGCCCACGGTCGCCACTGTCCCTCCAGGTTCCAGTCAGCTGCTAGGGTGCATCACACAGCATTTGATGCCTTGCTCCCTGGAGGTCTCTGGGTTTGCTCACTCTCAATATAACCCTGTCACATGTGAGCTGGGCACCTGAGTTCAATATTGATGGGTCCCAACAGAGGGGTTACTTTGTAGCCTTTTACAGTATGAGAACAGACAATGAGAGGGGAGCAGCTTTCTGGTCACTTGTTCCTTGTGTCTCCACTTTTCTTCTTATTTGACTATCATAACTTGTTTGAATACTGTTCTTAGAAATGTAGTATATAAGCTAAAAGCCCTTTGAAAAAATATGCAACATTAAAAATATAATGTAAACACAGCAACAAATAAATTAGACTCATAAATCAAAAGTTTTGTACCTCAAAAACATCATCAAGAATGCGGAAAGGTTCAAAGAATAAGCAATATTATTTGCAAAATAAAGTATCTGACAAAAGGCTTAACTCCATGGTATAGAAATGAGTCTCACAATTTAATAATAAGACAACTCAAATTAAAAGTGGATAGAGATCTGTTGATTTTGTAACTTGAGCAACTACCTCTAAGACAAAATGTGTAATATATTACACATTTATTATTGGTTGATTTATTAGTGATTGATTTCAGCCACTAATAAATTTATTAGTGTTTTTTTACAAATCCTATATTATTTCTACTCTTTTTTTCTGTTTTGCTTTTTAAAAAAGTAAACAGATCTGAATAGACATTTCTTCTAAAAACACATATCTTATAATCTGAGCAACTACTCTGACAATAACAAGACACAATATAGTAGCCATTAATAATCTATTACATTGTTTTGAAATTCTATATCATCATTTTTGTCTTTTTTCAATTGGAAAAAATCAGAAATGGAATTCAGAATTAACATGAGTTACTTTTTCTTATCCACGATGATGACAGCAATAAAAACTTTAAGCAATAACGAACACAGGCCAGGGTATGAAGAAACTGGACCCATTGCTCTTTGCTGGTGAAGTTGTGAAATCATGTGGCCACACTGGAAAGCAGTTTGGCTGATCCTCAAAGATGTCGAACAGACTGGTCATATGATCACCACCTCTGCTCTTTGGTTTGTACCCAATAGAATTGGAAATGTATTCACAACATGTCTACCAATGTTCATAGCAACAATAACCCTAATACCCAAGTGCTCATCAACCAATGAATGCCTAAAATAAATGTGGTATATTTATGCAAGAAAATACTATTTGGCAAAAAATTAACTACTGATGCATTCTTAAAATTCTCCATATTGCTCCCATTACTCTGAGAATAATCCCTAAATCTCCAAAATGATTTGCATGCTTTCTGTACTCTTTGGCATCTGTACTCTCTCTCCAGCATATAATAGATAAACTTTGCAAGTGTGAGGTGAAGTAATTTCATCATTAAAGGTCACATATTATGTAATTCCATCTATTTAAAGAATTGGCAGATTCCTGGAGACACAAAGCTGGGTGATGATTGGCAGAAGGGGAAGGTGTGGGGAATGGAAGTGATAGCAAGTAGATAAGTGATCTCCTTTCAGGGTTATGAAAATATTATGAAACTAGGTAGTATTATAGTTGCACAATTCTGAAAACCTACTGAATTCTATATTTTAATTATATAGGAATTATATCTCAAAATGCTATTATAAAAGCACAGCATCGTATACATTTTTGTTGTTTTTTAAGACTAAGTTTCTCTATGTAGTTCAGGCTGGCCTTGAACTCATGATCCTCCTGCATCAGCCTCTTGAGTGTACTGGAGTTACAGGCATGTGCCACCATGCCCAGCTATATACAGTTTTAAAACAAAAACTTCTAGTATTATTTTTACTTGTTCATAGTTCATAATTTCAAGCTAATTTAAATTTTATATATTTGTGGGTCCATTCAAAATGTAGCAAAATGAAAATAATGAAATCTCATTAATAATATCTGCATGAATAAAAGGCCAAATTGAAGAGCTGAAATTCAGAATTTATTTTTTAAAGTTTTTGTTTTTCAAGTACATAGTGGAATTACAATATGCGGGCAAGTAGAAATTTGGTGGGGGTGGTTATATTGAACAACAAAGAATGATTAACAATTATTTCTACAGTTATCCAGTAGATCTTTGCTCAGTTCCTTTGATCTACACTAACATAGATTTGTTCATATTAAAATAAATGAGCACCTCTTTAAAAATGCCTGGATACTGTTCTATTAAATAGGGTATGAAAACAGGTAGGCAAACATGCTAGAGGTCAGTGATACTGAGAATTAGCCAGGATTTTTGCCCTTTGCACTCATATTTACATTCCAGTTCCCCTGGATTCATTAAATGGTGTTATTACGACCTCAGGTAGCTGACCTGTGCCAGAAGTTCATTGTCTGCTTGGTAAACTTTGCTTAGTTTACGGTGTGTACTCCCTTGACATTTCTTCAACTTATGTTGTCATGCAGACTGTTGTCACACATACAAAAAGTTTTCAGCAACATTTTGTTTGCTTGCACCTAATTATGAAAGGACCTTCTGGAGAAACCACATCTGGGTTGTGTGTGTGTGTGTGTGTGTGTGTGTGTGTGTGTGTGTGTGTGTGCGCGCGCGCGCGCGCGCCGTTGTGGTTCTGTATTTTCTTTTTAGAGAGAATACAAAGGTAAGGCTGAAGAGATCATTACTGAACAAACATCTGTGCTTGGCCCTGCCACCTGAAGGGGGTGAAATTGCTGCGTCACTTCTGTTTGAGCTTCAGTTTCCTCAGTAAAATAGGGACTCTGGCCTGTGACTTAATCCATTGGGCGGACTTTGAAAGCCAAATGCAAAATGTATGAAGAACACTCTCTCTACAGGTGCAGTGGTGCACATCTGTAGTTTCATCTATTAAGGATGCTGAGACTGGAGGTTCACTTGAGCGTAGGCAACTGAGACCAGCCTGTGTATTATAGTGAGACTCTGTCTCAAAACAAAACCAAGCAAAAACAAAAACCTTGGAGGTAACCAAGTATTTTTAAAAGTCTGATAATGGTTGCAGTGGAAATAAAATTCGTGAAAACTTTCCTTTTTCTGTTTAGATGGCACTGTGTATCTTTATGTTGTGAATCATCCTCTCCTGGAGTCCACCGTGGAGATATTTAAATTTGAAGAACAGCAACGGTCTCTCACATACCTGAAAACTATAAAACATGAACTTCTCAAGTGGTATGGAATTAGAGCATTGTGCATTTCTATTTATTTGGCACCACCGCTGTGAGCTTTTCCCCCTTTGATTCAGCAGGCTTTCTTAAACTTGTTATTTTGCAGCATTTTTTTTTTTAAACTTTCTAAAGATTCCCATGGTGACACTACCTGGCACGTCACCAGAAATTGCTGTGTTTAGCCCTGAATATCCCTATATTTTCCAACTTTTTAAAAGCATTTTAATCCCATAAAGATGCTCAATTAGATTCCCAGCTCTAATTTCATCCTCTTTACTGTGGCAACTCAATACCTAGTATTGGGCCCTCTCTGAACACCCACTCCCTTAGCTAATTGTATTCGGTGAGCCTCACCCACTCCGTGTTAAACCAGCCTCCCCAGGGCCATTTGTTTGTTCACTAAGAAGTTTTAAATAGAATTTGATAAAGCCCACTGGCACTTATAAAAATTATGTTTATTAAATGTTGACTATGAATCAAGAACTATGCCAAAATCCTTAATTAAATTTCATTTTCATAATAGCCTTTAGTAATAGTCATAACTAAACTGAGTCCAAGAAATTTTGGGCTAGGTAAATTTCCCACAATTTGTAACTGGCATGTCCATTGTGTAAACCTGAATTCATCTGAATTAAAAGATGAGCTCCATTTTCCACAAGCTTTGCTTCCATATTTTCTTTCTTTTCTCATTTTTCTTTTCTTTCTCTCCCCCCACCCCAGTTCCTCTTTCCACTTGAACATTTTACAATCTGTATTATACATTTTGGTCCATATTTATACTTGTAGTTCCTCACACTAGAGAAACAATGTGGGGAGAAGGGTCAAAGGGAGGGTAGGGAATGGGAAAAAAAGAACAAAAATCAATATATGTTAGGTACAGGTACAAATTCACTGTGATGAATGTGATCATTATGTATATCTAAAATGTACCAACAAACTTAATCTTTTTTAAAAAGTTTTTTAAAAATGAGCTCCCAGTTCAATGATGAGCATTTTTTTTACTGCATTCAGAAAAAATAGTAAACTTTTCAGTGGATAAATTGCCCATTTCCAGTCTGTAATGAACAAAGAAAAATTTGTCTGTTGTAAAACAGACTCAATACCAAGGGCTAGTTCCAAAGTAATATGGGCTGCCTTTTGCATAGGAGGAAAATGAAGGAAGTTCCTCCCCTTTGTTCTCTTTTTCAACATGACCTTGAATTTGTTCCATCACATCTGAGGGCAACAGAAGTAGAGTGCACAGGAAGCAAGGGTGTTGAGGATATCGAGCTTTTCCCATAATGCCTCAGTCAGTTTCAGAGGCCACAGTTGACTAGGATTGCCAGAGGGTTGCTGGGAAGCTGTGAACAAGTCATTTAAGATGTGACTCAGTTTACTCAGCAATCTGAAGATTCTTTCATTCACCTGACTCGCCAGTGAGGAGCAACTATCACAGCACATGACCCTATAGGAAGAGTTTCCCAGAAAGCACAGTCTGATGGAAAGCCTGAAATGTGACCACTTTATTAGATAGTTCAATCTCGGCAAGCAGAAATCAGAAACCAGCCTGAAACAGGCAAAGAGAAACACTGAGTGGTAGTTATCCTACAGAAACATACATTGATCTTTTGCCTCAGAGTATGACCTTGCTTAGAAATAGGGCCATTGCTTATGTTATTAAAGATGAAGTCATACTAGAAGTATGGTACATTCTGAATCCACTATGGGGTGTCCTCACAAGAAAACATATATTCACAGAGAGTGACATGTAGTGATGAGTGCTGGATAGGAGTGACATTTCTGTAAGCCAACAAATGCCTCAGGCTACCAGGTGCCGGAAAAGCCACAGAAAAATGCTTCCATCGAACTTTCAGAGGGAACACGACCTTGCCAACATCTTAAATTCAGACTCCTGGCCACCAGAATTGTGAAACAATAACTTTTGCTCTTTTAAGCCATGTAGTTGGTGACAATGTGCTATGGCAGCCATAGGAAACTCAGACATAGAGAAAGCCATACTAACAGCATTAATAAGCCAGCCCACTCCTTAGTGCAATTGATGGCTTGAAATGGAATCGTCTTCTGGCCAACAGTTGGACTGAGTTCAGTCCACAGCCCTACTTCCCAGTACCCTCAAGAACCCTTAATCTTTTCTACATTCCTGGCTATGTATATGAAAATTAAATCTGGTGGTATTCTGTGCTTTGACATGGACCAGAGAGTCTGGAAGGGGGCCAAGTGAGATAAGGCACTGTTTGGCAGCACATGTAGGAAATAGAGCTGGAACAAGATAAGTGGGGACAGAGAACTCTAAGGAGGAGCTGGAGGGCTGTCCTGCTGTACACATTGACCAAGCATGTCCAGCAGGCAGAACAGAATGCCGGGAAGCACAGTGTGAGCAAATTTAACTTACAGTGTCAGGTGAAGGTCTGGGAATGGAGGAACACTTAACCTGGAACATGAAAGGCACAGAGCTCTATGACCCTGGGGAAATTATTATGTATAAAAATCTCAAAATATTTCCCAGTTGCTCCATTTTTTTCTTTCTTAAAATTTAATGTAAAAATATTTCATTTGTTGTCAGTTTTTCTTTTTCAAAATGGAAGTGATTCGTATTATTTTTAGTAATTGTAAGGACAAGGCTTGCTTCATTTAAAGATCTTGATGGAGCAGTAGTGTGGGTATAATACAGCTACTCTACTCAGGAGGCTGAGGCAGGAGGAACATTTGAGAACAGAAGTTTGAGGCCAGCCTGGACAACAGAGTAAACTTTCATCTCAAAAAAAAAAAAAAAAAAAAAAAAAAAAAAAAAGAGGGGCTGGGGATTTAGCTGAACGGCATAAGCACCTGCCTTGCAAGCAGGCGGTAGTGAGTTCGATCCCTGGTACCGGTAAAAAAGAAAAAAAAGTGTAAAAAAAAAAAAAAAGAAAGAAAAGAAAAAAGGAAAGAATGAAGGAAGGAAAAGAGGAAGGAAGGAAGGAAGGGAGGGAAGGAGGAAAACATTCCTAATTCCATCTATAAAGCTTATAAGGGACTGGGTTAGGCTATAACAGGAAGAAAAATCCAAGGCTCCAGACCACATAGTATGGTTTGTTTTGGATTCATTTTCTCAGCCTTGCTACACAGCCATGCAGCCAACTAAGGAAGTTGGTCTCATTTAAGGCTGTAGGAGGACCACAACCAGGAATCACTCATACTATACAAACCAGGTGGATCACTCACTGGCTTTCACAGTCTTCTACCAAGAAACACCACTCTCATTTCATTTCATTTGTCGATTCAAGTCACATACTTATGCCTAATGTTCAAGTCCAATTCCTAAAGAAGGAACTTGGAGTTTGAGGTTTATTTGTATAATAATTCATTTTTACTTTTGAAATTTATATATTGTGATTTTTGACAACAATCAAGATATTAAAACACTCTGTGGATCTCTCTCTCTTTCTCTCACTCTCCCTCCTTCCCCCACTCTTCCTCCTCCTTTCCTCCTCGCTAGTGTGAATGACATTGTAGTTGTTGGACCAGAGCAATTTTATGCCACCAGAGACCGCTATTTTGCCAGTTTCCCCTTGGTACTTCTTGAGATGTTCTTCGATCTTCACTGGACTTACGTCACGTTCTACAGCCCAAGTGAGGTCAAATTGGTAGCCAAGGGATTTGGTACTGCCAATGGAATCACAGTCTCACCAGACCAGAGGTATGCTCCTTTACCAATTTTCTACCCTTTGTCTTTCATGTTTTGGTGAACTCCTTCCCTTCAGAGGCATCTTGGACTAAGGAGTCACTATATGAAGGGGATGGGGATCAGTTGTGGCCACGGTTCACACTAGAGTGTGATCTAAAGCAAAGCAATTGTTGCTTTATGCTTCAGATTCCCCCAGTACGAAAAGTGATTAGGCTCAAAAGATAAGACCTTGTTCCAAAGGTTTACTAAAAACATACTTTGTTTACTAACACACTGAAAATTTGGATAAATATACAATACCTCTATTTCTTGTGAGGCTAGTGGGCATTTAATCACTTATACTAAGTTCAGTTACCTGAAGCCTTGTGCTGGAGACAGTGGCCTATCTTAGCTGGGGCATTATAATATGACTGTAGAAATTGCAGGTTTACGTGACAGAAAAGTACTCCTTGAGTCTTTTAAGTAACTTGAAATTTTGTGACAAAACACTTTTTATAAGTGTTTTAAAATTGAACAGTTTTTTAAAAAAGAAGTACCATGGACGTTGACATGTAAATTTGAGGTACTGAACAGTGATAATCCCAGGAGGAAAATACATATCAATGTTCCTCCTTTTTGAAGCAAAATGATAGTGACCCAACTTCATGGAGCTGGATACTTCTTTTCAAGCACTGTATTTTGGAAGTATGATTCTCTGCACCTTAGAAGAGGTCCACTTTCCTCCATTCAATGTAAAGAAAAACTTGTAAATTCTCAGAAATGAGAGCGAGCCTGTGTGTCATCTGAAATACCAGTTTGCATTTCAAAATCACATCTCATAATCAGAGCCTGTCTAAATATTTCAGGAATGTTAAAAGTACCACTCCATTATCCTCTCGTATAGCATTTAGAAAGGTGTTTCAAACTAGAGTGGTACTTCAAATTAGTGTGAAGTTTTACACCTGTTCTCCAAAATGAGGGTCAGTACCAAATCTCATTACTGCTTGCTTAACTGTCAATGTTATTTACATCAAAGGTATATTTATGTGGCTGATATAAGAGATAAGAAGATTTATGTAATGGAAAAACATGAAAACTGGGATTTAACTCAACTGAAGGTAAAAGTACCCAGGTTTACCCACCCAAAATGGTCTCTAGCACCAGCCCCACCACCTTCTTGAAAGAAGGAATGAGATTGTTTTAGAGCAGTTACCAGTGAGATCGTGCTTCTGTTTGAGACAAACATCTCTAAGTCCCCTACAAATAATGGTTTCAGGTGCCCAGACGTGGTAGGAAATGGGGAGGACAGGGGGAGGAGAGGGAAGAATGTTGAGGTAATCTCTGCACCCTTCTTGTTTGTTGGAAGGTACTACAATTGGAAACCTTGGTGGATAACCTGATTGTTGATCCCACCACGGGAGATATTTGGGCAGGATGCCATCCCAATCTCTTCAAGCTGATGCACTATAACCCTGAGGATCCTCCCGGGTCAGAGGTATGTTTCTCTGTGTTCACAGGCAATACTATGTGGATGAACAGTTTGTCGAGATGACATGGGATGATTTAAACAATGACATTTAATATTCCAGTGGAGATTTTGACAGGGAAGAGGAATGTAATTTGTTACTCCTTTGACGTCAGCAGGTACCAATACAACAGCAGTCCCAAACAGTATGTCCCCTTAGTGCAAGGGACTGATGTAAGTAATGGAGTTATTGGAAGTAATGGGGAAATATGAACTTGATCATCCAAATTGACCTAGATTACCTAAGGTATTTTCAACCTGGTTGACTATGGTATGCCAACCAGGTCTCAATAGATCCTGTGGTAAGATAGAAAGAGACATGTATAAGATCATCTTCTTTCAGACTACCTAACATGCAACTCAAATAAAAGGATTTAAATGAACTCTCAAAGCTAAAAGACTTTTTTTGTCCTTAGGTTGTAATATATATGAAACTGTTAAAGAATGTCTTGTTTTTAAGGTTTTTGTTATTTAGGCTGGGTATGGTGGTGCACGCCTATAATTCCAACACTTGGGAGGCTGAGATAGGAGGATTGGCACGAGTTTGCAGTCAGCCTCTACTACACAGTGACCTCAAGGTCAGCTGAACTGACCCTGTCTCAAAAAAAAAGAATTTTTGTTTTGTTATTTTAAGATATCTCTTTTAGCAAACTCTTAGATAACAGGTCACTAGGGAGGGGCATACAAGGTATAGAAGGGTGATGGGGTGAATATGATTTATGAATGTTATATGCATGTGTGAAAGTTCACAGTGAAACTTATTACTCTGTATAATCAGTATGTACTAATACAAATACCTCTTCTAAAGCAATAATGTAAGCCATCAAGATTTCGAAGCCATTATAAACAATAACACACAGTATTGCATTTTATATGGCATTGAATTTGAGAAAAAAATCATTCTCTAATGAATCTAATTATAGCTAAAAATTCTTGGCAAACATACTCTGAGATGTATACATTCATTGACATTTACTGTGCAGACATTGTGTCAGACATTGTTCTAATGTTAAGGTTATATCAGAAAGTCAAACAACAATCTCTCCTCTTAGAACAGGGAGGACAGACACTGAACAATGAATTTAAGGAACAAGTGAACTATATAGTGAGCCTGAAAATGCTAAATTCCACTGGAAAAGCAAGGTTTTTCTTTTCATATAACGGTAAAGAAGGTCAGGATTGCTGTGAACAAGAGGTCAGGCAGGCCCTTAATATGAAACAGAAAGCAGAACAGAATTCATTAAGAATGTGTGTTTTGGAGGAAGACAGGTTTGGTAAGTTGGGAAACATTCAGATTCTAGCCTGTTCATGGACCTGGTAGATAACTTAGAACATAAAATTAATTCTACTGAAGAATATTGCTCCTTTCTGGTTAAATTTTTTCCCTCTTAAATTAACATTATTAGCCATAGGTTCTTTACAAAAGCTCTAAAGAAATATAAAAATAAACAAAAGTCCAGCATGACTCTTGAATACGAATTGTTAGCTTGAGCTAGCAAACACCGCTTACTTCAGATGGCTCTCCACCGCATCACAAAAATAGGTGTAACTTTTTTACAAAAACCTAACTACGGTGTCTACTTTAAAGCAACTCAAATATAACCCATAGAATGATTGAAAAACTGTCCAGCTCTGTTTTTGACAGTAACTCTTCTTTCTTCACAATTGCTTTTGAGTCTTATATTATGTACGTGATCCAAGCTTGAGTATTTTTATGTAACAAACTTGACATGAAGTTGTAAGATCTTCTTTAAAATTAGAATTGAACAGGAAAAAAAATTCTCTAACCTCCCTTCTAAGCGAAGAAGAGTATTGATTGAGAAAGACTCACAACTCATGAATTACTATTTTCCTTTAATTTTTCTCATATTCTGTTTGAATTGATTTTATTCAGCCTCTTTGGAAACCCAAGTGCTGCTAAACTCACTGATTAGAAAAGTAAAGTGTTTAGGGATCAATACTAGTACAAGATGTAGATGCATCAGCTGGAATTCTGAACCAGTTGTGTTTTCTGCTTCCTAGCAACTTTATAGACAGGAGGGGCTCTAGCCTTGGTGCCTGCCCCCCTCCCAGTTACCGGTTGAGAGTGGCTGGTTGACTCAGATCCCTTTAGCCTTTTGTCATGCTATAGTCTTGGTCAAAGATAAGACCTTCCCCATAGGGGCAGGACCACTCTCTGAAGTAGAAGCAGGTAAGAGTGTTCATCATGTGTAACCTCCCTCTAGAGGGGACATCTGAACTATCAAAATTATTGAAGCTTTCTTTGAAGAATTTGGGTAATGTTAGATAACCAACCCATTTTAGTATATAGACATCATTAAGATTGAATATCTTCCTCAGAGAAAGAAAAATAATTTAAGAGAGATCTCTAAAGATCATATCCTAAAATACTGGGGAGAGAAAAATCACCAGATTGCTGCTTATTCACACGGTGTGCTAATGAGTGGTCTTCTTGTTGACAGGTACTACGCATCCAGAATGTTTTAGCAGATAAACCAACAGTGAGCACTGTCTACGCCAATAATGGTTCTGTGCTTCAGGGTTCCTCAGTGGCTGCTGTGTACAATGGGAAAATTCTCATAGGCACTGTGTTTCACAGGGCTCTTTATTGTGTGCTCTAGACTTCAGATAACCCTGAACCGCAACATGATTGATAAAAATAAATTTGTTGTTACATAAGTTTAAAAAGAGTTAAAGGAAATTACATTGTAGTCACTAAAAGCAATGACAGTCCACCAAAATGCCAGAGTGCACCTCATGTGTCAAATATCCTCAATACAGGCTGTGGCCATGGAAGCTTCCAGCTCACTAAGAGCCTTCAATAACTGTGGCAAAATGCCTTCTACAACTGTAATGTTGAGTTTCCAGTACTCCAGTCCATGAGAAAAACCATGTTCAAGGAGCTGTGATTTCTCTTCTCTTCACTCAGTTTTGATGGAGACCAACTGTTAATCAAGTTCCTCTGCCTTCAGCTAAAAGCAAGAATTGGTATCAAGAGACTTTCCAAAACCAGTCTCCCCAAGTACAGTGCAATCAGGATCAGTGAAGTTTGCTAGACACACAAGGCCACTGTGGTTGTTTGTATTAGGTTTTTCTTTATATCGGTATTTGTGTGTCAAATATTATTAATACTGCTTCACTCTGAACCATGAGATGCAGCCTTGAGGCATCATATTGTGCAACTTTCAGCTTTCTTTGCTGGTTATTTCAATAAGCATTTATTAAGCAACCTCTTATACACTTGTCATTAATAAATCTGAAATGAATAAGATGGTCCTGATCTACATATGTTCATCAACAGATGGCTGAATAAAGAAAATGTAGTGTTTACACACAGTTCTTTTTATGATCATCTGTCATAAAGAATAATAAATGAGTCATTTGTAGGAAAATGCGTGTACCTTGAGACCAAGCCTACATGTAGGATGGTTTCTTTTATATGAGAAAACCAAAATATAAATAAAAAGCAAAGTAAAAGATGAATAATAGGAAAGAGAGTGGTATATCAGATGGGAAGGGGACCAAGAGTTGAAGGGAAGAAGGAGGGGAGAGGAGAGGAAAAGGATAAAAAAAAATGAAGATGTGTTATGCACCAGCTCCCCATGAGAAATGTAATCATTGCATGCTCCCAACATGTACAAATAAAAATGAAAATTGAAAAAAGAAACACTGTAAGAAAAGATGGTCCTGGGCTAAAATTTTGTCCAAAGGACTAACCCATTTAGCAAGGCCCAATGCAAATTAAAAAAAAAAATTTATAAAGGGCTGAGGATGTCCCTCAGTTTAAAGACCCTGGGTTCAATCTCTAGTACCAAAAGGTGAGAGAGAGAGAAAGATAGACAGAGACAGAGAGACAAAAACAAAGACAGAGACACCAACCCAACCTTAGTTGATGAGTATGAATAAAAGTGTTCCTTTTGTGGTCAAAAGCAAGAAACCTTTAGCCAGTCATTAAAGAGAATTAGTGCATCCACGTCCATTTTTGTGACTTCTGATATGGAGGAAGTATTGATTTTTCCCTTCTCTCCTGAGGATGATGTTTTGGGGAGATTTCTTTATGTCTTAATTAACATTACTCAATTAGGGGTAAGTTTTTTTTATTTAAAGAGAAAACAAACAAAACAAAACAAAACAATAAGAGTACAAGTAATACAGAATTTTCAAAAAATAAACAGTAAGAAATCACTAGTTAATAAGTTACATATTGTCATCTTAGAAATAGTTGATCAAGTTACAAAATTAAGCATACAAAGTGGACATTCAAACAGAGAAACTGCAAACAGTTGTGTTCAATGATCCAACAAAAACTTAGTAATATGGTCATCTATCAACTGAGGAATGGATAAAAAAGTTGTATTTTTATACAATGGAGTACTACTCAGCTATAAAGAAGGATCACTTTGAGATATTTATAAATAAATGGGTGCAGCTTGAGACCATAGTCATAAGTGAGATAAATCAAACTCACATGTATGAATGCTGAATAGTTTCCCTAGTATAAGAAATGATACAAATACATAAAAGTATGTGGTAATCATGATTCCCCGTTATATGGTTTTGAAGCCTTATAAAGTTTTCACTCACTAATTGGAATAGTTTTATTCTGGGCTATTATATATTACTGTCTGTGATGATATGAACAATTACTTTGAAGAAAACAAGACACCATAATAGCTAGTGCTGATTTAGTATCATCTTGTTTTGAAGTCCCTTCAAATTGTTGTTCTTCTGTCTACATTGCTTTTATCATGCTGTATCTTATTGGATTTTATTATATATGATAGTATAGGGGTAAGTTTTGATAAAAAGCTTTTATTAGGGTGAAATTCTACTTTGTTTACCATGTAATCTTTTAGACAATAAAGCTTTGTGGTTTTCATCACTCAAAAGAAAGACTGGCACAGAAGAAAGCCATAGTCAGTTATCATATTTTAAATTTCATAAGTCTCTCCTTTAGAGGGAATAATAAAAAAATAAAATTAGAGGCCTACATATAACACAATCCATTTTGAAGAATCAAATACATTTTTGTCCATAAGCATCACACCAGCTCGACTAGAGAAAGCTTCCCAGACTAGGGAAGAATGAAGAGGATTAGAGATGGGAAGAAAAACAGACTTGAGATGCTAGAGGGCCTTAGAGAGATGTTCCTGCCCTGCTTTCTCCCAGGCCTAGTTAGGAAAGACTGGATGATAGACACTCCCAAGAACCTTGGGGGATCTGGAGGCTGAAGGACTAAGGTGTCCTTTTAGAAGCGGTTCACAGGAAAGTGACAAAGCTATGTCTTTATACCCAGTGTGGTGGGAAAGTAGCCAACTGCTGCTATTGCTCACCAGAATGTTATCTGCACTTGAACCTGACACCAAAGCAAATCAATTCTCATGCACTTAAGAGGGCACAGAAATCAGCAGTGAGCACCAATAGATGTAAAGTCGTCTTGCTACTGGGGAGAAGAAGACAAATATGTAGACATTTGGTTAGAATGAGACCTTAGGTGATAACTGTGCCATTAGCTAGTATCCTCTTAGGTGGTAGACCTTGTTGCGGAAGAGGATGTATCTCTGTCTCTGTCTGTCCCTCTGCTTCTGGCTTCTGGAGCAGTTTATCACTGCCTGGTCCATCTACCTTGTGATTTCTGTATTGGAGCCAGACAACCATGGACTGAGACTTGTGAAACTGTTAGCCAAAATAAACCCTTCTTTAAATTGTGTCAGCTATTATGTCTTAGTGACAAGAAAGTGAGTAAAACAGGGTTCCTTTGGGGTCTTCTTTTCTAAAATATCATCTTTTTTGGAAGAGCCCTGGCAGGATGGCTCAAATTTGGACTCCTCCTAGAGTAGATAATTAACCTATTTTTGCCAAAAGAGAAGAGATAGGTTGCCCTGCTCATAACCTGCAATCTTCTTTAACTCTTCCTCCTCCTCTTATATAGGCACAAGTTTATCAGGAAGTTTCTTGCAGATACAGTCACCTAAACCCCCCTCTCCCTGTGTAAGCCTTCCCAATATTTACATGATTATCTTGAGCCTTTGCAGGGACCTGAAAAAGTATAGTTACCTTCACAATTGATGCTGAATTTTGGTGACTCATTCTCTTACTTTTTCTAGCCTTTCCAAGTAATTATCAGAGATGTAGGTTGGAGACAGGACACTATGGTGATGCTTGAGGGATTTCGAGCTCTCTCAAGAATTATGAGTGAACTCTGACTATAATATTTGCCTCTAAATGTTTTCAGCTTTTCCTAGAATGTGAAATTTTTTTAAGGCTTGATGCTTTAAAAAATGATTTTACTAAGCTATCCAGGCTGGCCTGGAGCTTGCAGCTCTCATGCATAGCTAGGATTACAGGCATCTGTACCAGATGGTTGTTGTTATATTTGAGCTCTTAGATGCTAACTCTGAGTGCAGGAAAATTCTTAATCCCTTTTAATTTTGTATCTAACCTGTTTTAGTTTAGAGAGTAGAAACATTTAGAATAGTCAATAATGTTGCTAGACATGAGCGAACCTACATAAGTAAAAACTGCAAATCTTAGTGGAAAATGATATGCCTGTCAACATGACAGCATGAATTATATAACATCTAACCAATAAATAGTTTAATTAAGCTTATATAAGAACTCTATAATGAAAACATTAAAACTTTAACAAGAGAACTAGGAAATACACTAACTACATAGATACACATTTCAGTATCTTAGATAAACTTAAAAGAAGATAAATTCTCTCCAAATTATAAATTTGAAGTCCAGTAAGTTTTTATAAGATAAATGTATTTAAATTTAACAGGGATAATTTTCATTTCTTGTAATGCAATAGGTTAAACAATTCAGGACAAAATTGCTTAATTAAAACAACAAAATAATAGATACAGAGTTTTAAAAATATTTTTGAAAGCAACAAATATTTCACAAAGTTACTCTGAATCAAGTCATAATAAAAGAGAAAGATGAAATCCAGAAAAGTAGTTAGAACTAAAATCATACTTGTTTGAGAGTTCTAACTAATATTAAGTTCACTGTTAACTAGCATTAACCTTGGTATTAAGATCTCACAGCGAAAGGGAGAATGAAGTGAAATCCCAGGTCATCCCAGGTGAGGAACCTACCAATGGGCTACACCCCAAAGAACCAAGCCCTGTAGCCAGCCTATCTGGAGCAAGTACAGGAGACATCAACATAAATGACATTCATTGGAAGACACACACCTGAAATTTCTGAAGAGATAGCAAGTGAAGTAAAGAGATAAACCCATAAGGCTATCAAGGGAATCAGATCAGATATAATCTCTGAGGTTAAAAAAAAAAAGAAATGACAACCTTAATGAAGGAATTGCTCAGGATAGCTAAAGAAGATATAGATAAAAAAATTCAGGAGCATAAGAAAATGATGAACCCTTTGAACAATGTAAGAAAGAAACAGAATGCATGAAACAAATTCAAAGAGATAGCCAGGAAATTAAAATTCCACTGAAATCTGGCAAAACTACCTGAATGAAACTTAAGATAGACTTTCATACCTTGAAGACAGGATAACAGCTAGTGATCACTGAAGGAAAAATCTCTTAAAAATAACAAGGTACTGTGAAATAACATTTCAATAGCTCCAGGATGATGCAAAGGAAAACAACATAAGATAGGTGTCAATGAAAAAATCAGGAATCAATGCAAATGACATAAAACAAAAACTATTTGCAGAAGTAATAGAAGAAAATTTCCCAAACATGGAAACAGAATCTGATGTACAGATAAGTAAGGGATATACAAATCCAAATAACCATAACCAAGATAACTCTACACACAGACATTTAACAATCAAGGTCCCAGAAATTCAGCACAAAAAAAAGAATATTAAAAGCTGTTAAAGAAAATAAACAGATCATGTATCAAGGAAAACATATTAGAATCATAGACAACTTCTTAACATAAACCTTCAATCAAGAAGATGTTGGAGTGAAGTATTTCAACTCCTGAAAGAAAACAACTTCCAACCTAGATTGGTGTACCCTGCAAAACTATCTATGAGTTCAACTGGCGGCCTAGAACACATGACAATGTCTTATGCAAGTCTGTATCAAAGATCTGCATTGGGAAGGTCCAAAGATCAGTGGTGGAAGCTGGGAAGTCTGGGCCAGCAAGGAGAAGAATCTGTGCCAACAGGATGAGGAATCTGCACAGGAGCCGGTAAGCAACACTCAAGGTAAGAACCAGAGCCCCACCAAAGAGAACTGCAGCCATCCTCAATGACAGAGAGGACATGAGCTCCTCCCATGATGAGAACAGCTGCATCCATATCAAGAAAACTCAGTGTGACAAACTTCTCCAGGAGAGTCCAACATA